CATTGTGGTCTGTATGGCATTCAGACATGAAGTTTATATATCAGGTATGTACTTCATGGTTGAATGCTATCGTGGTCTGCTTACCATAGGCAACTGAAACAATATGGCAGGTTTCTCGGCAAGTAGACAGAGGGTCAATCGTATCAAATGACTGGCTAATTTTAAAACAACCCAACATAATATTAACATGCGATGGTCTGGAGTTTTATAAAGCGCTAGGGCTGGTTTGAATTAACCTGTAAATACAGGAAAACATTGTTAGCCGTCGCTGAGACGGAGAGAGTTGCTGAGAAGGAATCACCAACAAATATATTTGTCTGCAAAGAAAAAGCTCGAAGAAGCGAACATAAAGTCAGACATGTTAATCTTAAAATGTAATGTTCAAGGCTCCATTTATAACATCTGCGATAAAAATGTCACTGGTTGTTCACTTAATAGTTACAAGTTTAGTTTAAAATTTAAAGAGGACACTGCTGAATAGAGCAAGCATAAGTACATAAATAAAATTCTGCATTAAGTTACAATATATCTTCTAAAAATTCCACTGTCAGAAAACCTAAGACAATCCAAAGTCAAAAGAATTTTTTTCTAATATTTATATGAAAGCAAATATCACATTAACCCAAAAAATAGCGACAGTTGTGTGGTTGTTACAATGCTGTATTATTTAATAAATTTGAATTTTTTTTTATTTATGTTGATGTATCAGTTTGAATACATCAAAGATTTCATATATATTAAWTTTTTTTTATTCATGTTGWTGTATCAGTTTGAATACATCAAAGATTTCATATATATTTTATTTTTTTTACTGTAAGATAGCTTTAATTCTCTTAAGTTTGATATTCCTTGTACATGATTCTTGATTTTGTGCTTTTAGCCTTGAAAAATTTATTATTGAAGCAGGCTTGATACAAAATTTAATTCTGTAGTATAGCCCATTATAGGGACTAATTAACTTGTCCCAACTACCCCCAACCCCCTACTTAATGCATATATTGCACAACACAGATCTCTGCCTGGGACGTTTCAAAAAACTGCTTGTCTCCTTAATCGGGACACAAAATGAGCTATTGACTCCGATGATTCTTGGCGCAATGAACGGAATTTATGTCGTTCGAAGGGCTGGTTGACGTTCCAGCGAAGTAACGATCCAACTTTGCTAGTGCTTTATCAAAAACATTTGCATCATCCGCMAATCCTGTCGGTTCCGGTAGAGTTTCGTAGACTTTTTGCAGCTTCCTTCCAGCAGTGTGTAGCAGTGTCGCCTCTTTTTGTTCTGGAGTCGTAATTCCTTTTGCCTTAATCATATAACTAGCTGACGATTTCCATTCAAGCCATCTTGCAGCTAAACTTGACTTATCGGCGTCCATGTCGAAATGCTCAATTTCTCCGCCAAAATT